GCATGGAGTAATCCCTCCCCGTTGCTCCCATAGTATGGATGGAGGCAGCACCCCGAGTCACGCATGGAGTAATCCCTCCCCGTTGCTCCCATAGTGTGGATGGAGGCAGCACCCTCCATGCATTCTTGTTTGTGAGAGAGGAGGAGGCACGCAGGGAGGTTTCCACGGGCTCGTGGTCCTAAGCAGTGATGCTAGGACTGGGTGAGGAGGTCCTCCTGGCGAGCACGTGCCTGCGCGCCAAGGGGCATGTGGATTTCCTCGAATCGTGCTGTGTTGGTGTCGGGGTTGGGCTTTGGTGAGGAGTCCCTGCAGAGGCTTATAAGGCTCAGCCAGCTGTCCTACAAACCAGTGTTTGTGGGAATGGGAGAAGTACGCATGGAGAGCGAGATTACATATTACAAATGCTCACATTCTGTTTTATTTTAAAAGACAAGTGTCTGGGGCTGGCAGGGACCACCATCTGCCTTTGCACTGTACCAGTCTGGTCACTGCTTAATTTCCATCTGAATGCTTAAAAATAAAGCCCATGCTGAGAAATGTGGCCGTGTGCCAGCCAGTCTTGTACATCTTCAGAAAGCGAGGGCATATTACAGAAGACGCACTGGTACAGAAAAGCTCAGGACAGAGATGCTCCTGCTGACTGCCAGTGGTCCTCCAACAAATCCAGACCCTTGCAGAGTTGAGCCCTTGAGTGGCCCTGCTGTCGCTCCCACGAGCTGTGCTCGCTGGGCCCGGAACCCACAGACCCTCCCTCTCACCCACTCTGAGTGAGACATGACTGCATCTCAAGTGAACAGGTTAGAACCCCCTTACATCCACCCAACAGAGCCCAATTAGAACCCCCTTACATCCACCCAATGGAGACCCATTAGAGCCCCCTTTACATCCACCCAACAGAGGCCGGTTAGAGCCCCCTTACATCCACCCACAGAGCCCAGTTAGAGCCACCTTACATCCACCCAATGGAGATCCATTAGAGCCCCCCTTACATTCACCCAGTGGAAACCTGTTAGAGCTTGTCTTACATTTACCCAATGGAGATCGGTTAGAACCCCCTTACATCCACCCAAAGAGGCTGGTTAGAGCCCCCCTTACATCCATCCACTCAACAGAGACTGGTTAGAGCCCCCTTACATCCACCCAATGGAGACCAGGTATCTAAGAGATTTCACTAGACCATCACTCAGCTGGGATCTTCAAGTCCACTCAAGGCATTTCAACAGCAAGGCTTTTTCTTTTTCCCGAAAAGGAATAAGATGTTTTCTAGAAGGTGGTTCCGTCACCCAGGTTAGGCCCAGGGATGCCAGCGACACTTCCTTCCCTGCATTCGAGGAGGAGCATCTTTGGGGAGGGGCGAGCCCAGGATGGGCCGAGGGATTCCAGATGTGCTTTCTATAACAGTGATTCACTTTCTCTACACATGTCAATTTGAAAAATAAACAAACTATAAAATAAGGAAAAGGAAAAAAATAAGGGAAAATATTTCCACAGAGTCTGGGGTCTGTCTCTTTCTCCCTCTCTCTCTGTAATGGCAGAAAAGAAAAACACAGCAAGTTACAGTATCGAGAATTTTCTCCTGGTTGGAGGCAGGATGCTGTGTTTTTAAAAGGCATGTTCTCCAGCGAAATCAAATAGCTCATTTTCCAAACTGAATTAAAACACCAAGCATTTGCCCACAAGCAAAATTTCTTGGAAAGCAAGATTTTTTTTTTCCACTTATAAGAATTTAGAAAGGAAATAATGACTTGGCCGTTTCACGGCCCCGGCAGATTCCTTTGCTAATGAGTATTTTCCCTGGCTCGGGAATCCTTAGGTGACTTCACTGTGCTGTCAGAGATGGTTCACGGCACGAGGCTTCACACACACAGTCTCGCCCACCTGCACTTTGCTCTGGGCCCATTGATAGAGCTCCTGGTGGGATAACAGCGGTCTTGAGGAACCAGCGAGGATTCCACATCTCTTCTTTGGAGCATGGAAGTGAATGAGCCCCTAGTTGGTCTTCTTGATTCCCAGTGGATTTCCTGCAGGCCGTTCTCTTGGGGACACAATGCTCAGAAGCTAACTAGACAGATCTGGGTGCCGTCCGGGGAGCCCCAGGCATGCAGGTCGTGCAGCAGGAACCCCGGCACAGGCCCAAGTGCCTGCCTCTGCACACTCTCCAGGCGCCAGGCTTGTCCACTGGAGGCAGCTGCTTTCATTCGAGAGCTCTTGATTCTCTTGCTTTTCAACCAGGCTCCCACCTTTCTCCTCCCCGCGTGTTCTTAGGAAGCGCCCAGGATTGAACTCCTACCAAGGCGGCCACAGGACGAAGAAGGTGTGTGGCAATGAGCTCCCGAGGCATCTATCTGCAAATAGGAGACGTCCCAACTCCGGGGTCCCTCCGTCTGTCCCCAAAGCAGTGCCCCTGCTCGGTGACACGGCACGGGCACCACGCATTGCACCTCTCAGGTACCATGTCTGGGCCCCACCGAAGCATCTGCCTTCTGAATGTACAGAAGGAAACCGAGGCTGGGAGCGGGATCACTGTCCCTTGGGGCACAGCTCGGAAGAGGCCACACTGGGCCGGATGTCTGTGTCCTCAGATTCGGGTGAGCCACGTTAGGGACAAGCTCTTCCGGAGGCTACCACCTCTCCATGTGTTCTTCATCTGACAGTGATAGGAGCTTCGCCAGCGTGCTTTAGAACTGAATCGCTTCCAGCTACTGTGCTAGCAGAATGCCGGAATGCGAATCAGGGGCTTTACTGAAATATACGGAAAGCTCTGACGCCAGCGAAATGGAGCAGCATCTTCAGGGTACTCGTAGACGGACTCAGGACTCCCACTCCAGCTCACGGTGCCCATTGGACGCCAGACCCACCCCCCGGGTACTGCACTCTCCTGCCAACAGTCTCGGCCCTGACTTACCTGACTGGCCTATTGCCTAGCCTCCTACAGATGCCACTGCGATTCCTCAAAAATAGAAGGAAAACGAAACAAAAAGTGACTTTATGCCCAGTGTCTGTAATAATGACAACTAAAATGCATTATTAACTGAAACAAGATAGGATTCCACTCAGTGGATCATGTTATTTTCAAAAGCTTATGGAAAATCTCTTAAGGCGATTAACTAATTCAACAGAATATATATGGCAAAGGAATAATGTGAGATAGCTCCAAAACTGATAAGAAAGGAATTATGAAGCCAAATGAGAGGACACAGACAGGCTCGTGTGACCCATAGCACCATGGTTCCAGCTAATTTGACAGATGGCCTGATGGGGCCTCGCCGGCTGTGTCAGCACTGGAGTCATAGTCCAAAGTCCTGGCAGAAAAAAAGGAGTTCTACAGTAGGGTCACCGCAAACTTTTCAAGATTATGGTGTGCCTAATTCTCATTTCTTCATAATAAAAATGTATGCATACATTGTAGGTACTGAAGTATCTCTAGGAGATGGAAGATTACCGTGGAATCTAATTAGTGTCAGAATTTCCAGAGAAAGGAAAAATCAGTCCCCGAATTTTGAGAAATAAAGTCAGTAGGCCAATATGTAAGGCTCCTTCTACAAGGAATGGGAGTTTCTGCTATCCACATGTGGTGGAAGACTAGGAGAGGCACGCACTTAAGGAAATTCACAAACGTAAAGAGGAAAGTGGCATTTTCAAAGATGAAACCTGGTTGAGAAACCATTCCATCTACATCTTAAGGGAGGCTCCTAAGGGCCGACTTTGTGTTGTAGCTCCCTGGTGTCAGGTGACGAGAGCGACTAGACAAGCAGGCCCACTGTGAACGTTTGCTGATTCAGAAGACCCAACCTGTGGTCCTTCGACGGCAACAAAATTCTTCACACTGGCATTGAGCTCCGCATCAATTAAGTGAGAAACCGTACAGATCCGGACACTTCCACAAGTCCTCGAGCAACACACACACACGCACACACACACACACAACCACCGACACCAACACCAGCCATAGGCACGGCCATCCTCGTTAGTCATGTGCCCACAGAACCTAATCCTGCCTTGTATTTTCTGCAATTACATTTTTCTTAACCGTGCCTGCAAGATTTTCATCAATGAAGAAAAGAATGTTTTTGAAATGATAAATTATGAATGTGATTATATATACTGCCTGCAACCTCTATTGCCCAGACTTCAGACATACGCCTAATTCTGGGGGTAACCAGAGCTCCAGCTGGGGGTGGGGAGAAGGGGGCTATGCGCAGGGTGGACCTTCCACTTGAAATAACCTTTCAGAAGAACCAGGCTCTGTTCATGCTGCTACCCTTTCTTCATCTTCAAAACAAAGTGTGTTCCCTTTAAAAATCCAACAAGAAGTCCCTCTCTTACATCCAAATATAAAAACACCACAAAGAAATATGTCATTGGGAGTGTCCAATGCCAGAGAGAGCGAGAACAGAGAGAGACCATTTGGAGACTGGGTGGTTAGACGTGGAAAGTTAGCACAAGCTTCCGCATCAGACCACAGGACTCCTGCGCCTCTTCCAGGCTCCATCTCAGTTGTGAAGGTAACACACTGATGTTGCCCGGGAACCTTGTTACTGCATTGTAGGGACTTTATCTTCCAACACCGCCCCCCAAGCCCGCCCGCCCCATTCTGACAGCCCTCATTGCCTAGTTTGAGAAACAGAAAGAAAAATGGAATTTTGTGGAGAATATAATTTAAAAGAATGATTTTCCCAGTACAACGACCACAATCACACACTCCCCGAGTCCCAGGCCCTCATCGTCATCCTGGGAGGGCGCCTAACTTTTTAATTGTCCAAAGAAAACGACGGATGGAACTTCTCCGTGAAGAGCCACCTCTCTTTCATTCAGGTTAAGACGCAGCTTGGTCTAAACACTCCAGTGGTAGTTGAGGAAACCATCCCGTCTCCCCTGCCGCGGTCACCGAAATGATGGCCGGGGAGCGGGTGATGCTGATGCTGCGAGCTCGCCGCTCAGGTCACGGTCGCGCCCGGGATCGGCTGGAATCTTGTTAGGAAAGTGGGCCCACTGCCCCCACCCCGCGGGCCCCCGGCCCGCCGGCTCACCTCGGTCTGGGAAGGGCGCTTGGGCCGCCGGCATCCTGGCGCCCCTGCCTCGGCTCGGGTGGAACACCGCGGGGTTCCGAGCCTCGCTCGGTGCCGGCTCTCTCAGCCTCTGCCGGCGCGAGCCAGAGCGCAAACTTTTCCAGCGGTTCGCGGGGCGGGGTCTGCGCTCCGCCTCCCGCCGCGCCCCCGACCTCCCGGCGCCGGGTCCCACCTCGCCGTGCCCCACCCCCCTCTCCCTTCCCCGCATCCCTCACTCCGCCCCATCCCCCTACCCCTGCCCCAAGCCGCGAGGCCGGGCTCCCGACCCCGCGCCGCCCCCACCTCCCTGCCCGGCGCCGCCCCCTGCAGCCGCCCCTGGCCGGTGCTGGACGTCCTCCCCGCCCCTCCGCAGTGCCTTTGGGCCGGCTCGCCCCTCGGCCCCTGCCCCAGGCCGCCCTCCAGACCCTGTGCCCTCGGGCGAGCCAGCTCCAGGCTGCGGACTCCGGGGCCCCAGGACCCAGCGGGGGCAAGTCAAACCGCGTCCGCGGCTGGGCTAGGGCCCGGCGCGCTGACGTGGGGTACAGTGGAGGGGGAGTGTTTGGCTGATGATGATGATTATTATGGTTACTATCATCGCGATGATCACGATCGTTTCCGTGTGAAACTGACCGGCCACCGGCTCATAGGGCAGCGTACGCGCCCGGCAGCGTTTGGGTTTGGACCTCGCTCCTCCCCTCCGAGCCTCCGGCGCAGAGGGCGCCTGGGCGCGCACTCGCTCGGGACCCCCAGATCCCGGACCCCCCAGACCCCGGACCCCCCTGACCCCAGACCCACCACAGCTCGTGGACCCGCAGCGGGTAGATCTCAGCGACCTCTCCGCTCCGCATGGATTCGCCCCTTTTTTGCGGATAAATAAAATAATCCACGCGATGCACTTCCGAAAGGAGGAGAATCCTCAGGGAGGGGACTACCAAATTTTCAAATGGAAACGGAAAGTGAAGGCCCGGAGTGAGTGAGCACAGCAGCCAACCCTCGAAACCAGGGGGACGGGGTGGGGGGGTGGGGGGGCGGACAGAAAGAGAAAGCAGGCGGAGGGAAGGGAGAGGGGCGAGAAGAACTGGAAGGACCCAGAGGCCAGCTGTCCAAAGCCAGGCTGCGCTTCCCTGGGCGGACAGGATTGGGCCGCAGGGGCCCCTGGAGCGGGGCGGGGACCTGCGAAGGGTCTCGCTCAGCTACCAGCTCCTGATTTGCCCTCTTGTCTCCAGAGGAGGAGCCCGGCGCACCCTCCCCCTGGAGCTGGGAGCAAATGCTTATTCGGGTCGGTTTGAGCCCTGATGGGCACCAGAATGTAAACTGCCGGCACTTTCGCTGACCGTCTCTGTTGTTCCCTGGAGAACGTGGTGGGGGCCTGCAGCCTGGGGTCAGCGGGGGGCTGGCGCTGCGTGTCCCCGTCTCCACTTACCTAGTCGGCCTGTGCTGCCGTGACCCCCTCCGCACCGTGGCCTTACAGACTGGCTCACAGTGTCTCCCGCAAGCGCCGACAGGCCATTTCTGTCCCAAATTGCAAGTGGGACCGCATGTGCCTTCCTGTTTGCGCTCCTACAGCGTCGGGTCAGGAGAAGGAGAGGCGTACGTTTCTTCGGCCACTCGCCGTAGCAGGGGACAGGACAGAGGACTGGCCCATGTCCGCAGCCTCTAGAAGCCCTGAAAAATAACGGGGCTCTTCAAGGCCGGTGCCCTAAGGAGACACGAGGATTTGACACACAGGCCTTCCTGACGCTCCTCTTCAGACAAGGCTCTTGGGGAAACCAGATTCGCGTCCTGGGCGGCTCTCCCTGACCCGGCGCCCCGCCCCCGCCTGCTGCCTCCTTCCTGGGCTTTAAAGCTCAGACCCCGGATCGTGACCGGGGCCCTCGGTGGCCCACACAGCCCCTAGAGGCCGTATTCTCTCACTGTTGGTTTAGGGAGAACCAGCCCTGCCTGAGAGCCTGGTGAAGAAGTCTCCCCCTCCGCATCGCCGGTTAACGCGGGAAAGCTCTTTACAGAGGAAGGCCAGCTCAGGAATGTGGAAGGAATGGGAGACTTAGGAAGAAGGAGCTCAGTCTTCAGCAGCCCCGATGCTTTGAGTCAAGTGAGTCTGAAAGAGTGCCTGTCCTGGTTGATGGCACACCTGGGAAATTGTGGTGGGGGCTGACCTGCCGGAGCGTTCACGGAGGACTGTTTCTACACGCCGTCCTTGGTGTAATTCCACAAGAATGGCCCGGGTGTTTGTCCAGCCACTCACACGCAGTGGACGCGGTGGTTGGTGCAAGTCTGCTGCCCGCCCCCCGTGTCGTCGTGTCGTGCCCCCCACCCCCGCCCTGGCACGGCTCTGTGTGTCCCCTGCGCACCCTGGCTTCTTGAAGAAGGGCCTGCAGCGTCGTTGAATAACGTGGCTTTTTCTGGGCTGCGGAGACTTTGCTTGGGGGTGGGGGTGGGGGTGGGGAGAGAGGATCCTATGAAGACGAGTAATGGCTGAATTCCTTCTCCTCCAGCATCGGGCTGGGGGCTTTAGGCAAGACTGAAGGAATTCTGATGGGGGCAGGAAGAGCAAATGTCTGCGCTGACCTGGTGCTCGTTCTTGCCGGGCGCTGTTCCGAGAGCTTGACACAGAGCAACTCCTTCCTCCGCACAGCAATACCATGAGATCAACACCAATATTATCCCAGTTTTCAGAGGAGGAAACTGGGGTACAGAGATGATTGTACATTTGTCCAAAGTCACACAGCTGGTAAGTGGCAGAGTGGGAATGCCTCGTGCATTTGGAGTTTGTTGATCCGTGGAGGTTGCAACCCTCCCAACAGATGTTGGACCCTCCTTTGTGCATGGACAAGCGAGACCCTTGGCACCTGCGGAGAGGCCCAGGGCCTGGCTCCCTCCACCTGGCTTGGCTGGAGCCTGAGGACAGGAAGGAGAAGGACGGACACCATCAGCTGACTCTTGCCCTTGCCAGTCACCGCATCTACTCTGGGTTCTGGACTGTGCATGGCTGGTTTGGGGGAGACTGGATGGAACCCGCCCAGACCGCTTATGGACAGCCTCTCTCAGCCCATGAGGACGGCTAGTGCAGACTGGAATGCTGCGGTGGGAGAAGAGTGGGGAATCTTGCTTCCACTGTCATTATTAATAAAGAAACACTTGAATTTCTGAGTGTCAGCAGCATCTGGAAAATGGTGCATTGTACCACGTTCAGTGGGTACACTGTTAACTGTCTGGGCATTTAAATGGATCATAGAAGGTCCTACAACTTTTCACGATATACACATGCGAAGTTTTTCCTTCCATATTAATTTAATTGAAGCCATAAACAAACCTTTCTTCTTGATTAAAAAACATTTTAAAAAGCTGAGATTAGAAAAGAAAAAAGTCTCAAATCAGTCATCTAAGCTCTCATCTCAGGAAACGAGGAAAAGAAGAGCAAAATAAACCAAAGCAAGAAGAAGGAAGGAGGCAAGAAAAACAAGAGCAGAAATTAATTAGATTAAAACAGAAAAATAATCAGTGAAACAAAAAGTGCTTCTTTGAAAAATCAGTAAACTGACGGACTTCTAGCAAGACTGGCAAAGAAAGGAGAGAGAAGAGAAGTTACCAGTGTCAGGAATGAAACAGGCTGTCGCCACACACCCTGCAGACTCAGAAGGCTGATAGGGGAAAACTGTGAATACCTCCACAGACATACATCTGATAACTTAGATATAATGGACCAGTTCCTGGAAAAGCACACACTACCACAATTCTCACAATGTGAAATAAACCATTTGAATAGCCCTGAAACTATTAAGGACACAGAATTCATAATTTATAAATCTTTATAGAAAAAACCTTCAGGCCCAGATGATTTCACTGAAAAATTCTACCAAAGCATATAAAGAATTAACACCAATTCTGCACAATTCTTTCAGAAAATAGAAGAGATGGGGGCACTTTCCAACTCATTTTATAAAGTGAGTATTATCCTGATACCCAAACCAGACAAAGACAGTACAAAAAAGAAGACTACAGACCAATATGCCTCATGAATACAGACCCATTCATTTTTTAATTGAGGTAACATTGGTTTATAACATTATATAAATTTCAGGCATACATCATTATATGTTGATTCACCTCTTTCACCCTCCTCCCTCCCCCCTTCCCCTCTGGCAACCACCAATCTAATCTCTGTATCTATGTGCTTGTTTGTTGTTGTTGTTTTTATCTTCTAATTATGAGTGAGATCATATGATATTTGATTTTCTCCCTCTGACTTTTTTTCTTATCATAATACCCTCGAGGTCCATCCACATTGTTGCAAGTGGCAAGATTTCATCTTTTTTATGGCTGAGTAGTATTCCATTGTAACCCATTCATTCTTATCAAAATATTAGCAAATAGAATTCAGCAGTACATAAAAATAATTATTACCATGACCAAGTTGGGTTTTTTCCAGGGATGGAATACTAGTTTAATATTCAAAAATCAAGCAATATAATCCATAATGCTAATAGGCTAAAGAAGAAAAATCGTATGATCACAACAATTGATGCAGAAAAAGCATTTGATAAAATTCAATACCCATTGATGATAAAACTCTTGGAAAACTAGGAGTAGAGTGGACTTTCCTTAACTTGTTAAAGAGCATCTGCAAAAACCCTACAGCTAACGTTATACTTGATGGTGAATGACTGAAAACTTTCCCCTAAGATTGGGCACAAGGCAAAGATGCCCGCTCTCACCACCTCTATTCAGTATAGTACTGGAAACCCTAGCCAGCGCAATAAGGAAATGAAAGGCATATAGATCTGAAAGGAAGAAATAAAACTGCCCCTATTTGTATGTGGCATGATCTTCATGCAAATCCTAAGGAATCTGCAAAAAACAAATATAAAAAATTCTAGAACTAATAAACAAGGTTGCAGGATACAAGATCAATGTATAAAAATCAATTGTATTTGTATATACTAGCAATGAGCATATGGAAACTAAAATTAAAGATATAATACAACCTCCAATCACTAAAAAAAGTGAAATTCTTAGGTGTAAATCTAACAAAACATGCACAGGACTTGTAT